GAGGGGGAAGAGAAAATTGACCTTATCAAGAAGAAAAACAAAAAAAGGGAAAAATTGGTGAGTGGAACCAGAACTTCCAAGAGGAACTTTAGAGAAAAAATCTTCGGAAATTCTTGGAAGACAAATTTCATAAAATTTCACATGTACAATTCAGGCAAATTAGAGTATAAAGACCTTAAACACCATTCTCAATAAATTATTTTCCTAAATTATATTTTCTGGTTATTTTCTCAAACAAAGAAACATTTGTCTCCTAACAAATAAAGAAAGAACTTTACCACCAAACAGTTGTGGTGGATGGTGGGATCCTCCACCCTTAACCAGAGGTCTCGAGTTCGAGCCTTGGGAATGGAGAAAGCCCTAGTTGGGAGTGCTTACTACTTAATGGGAACTTTGAGGTGCAGTTCAGTGGGTTCCAGATACCAGATGGTTAAAACAAAAAAAAAAAAAAAAAAAAAAAAAAAAAAGGGGGGAACTTTAATAAGGATGCAATATGGAACTTCCATTTCCTTCTCTATAAAATTCGCTTGAGAGGACAGCAACAATTTTTTATATAGTTAAGTGGACCATGAAATTCTAAAACAAGCAAAGATATTCAGAAGTAAACCTCATAGGTTGCAGTTCCACCGGATGTGGCAGCTTGTCTAAGCGTCACATTTGATATTGCACCACTGGCAGACAAGATGCAAACAGCCCTTGGACCATTCTGAGAAAATGACATTATCTTTGATGCCACATCCTGAAAATCAGATAATAAGGATCAGCAATAAAAAATATAGCAACTTAATATGTGCAAAACTATCACAATATATGATATGCAAGTGTCTTGGCATTTGCAAGAATCCAAAGGCAGAACAGGAATTCCAAGAGTCAAAAATTCATCACATGAAGAATTTAGATCAGTACCACAAAGGAATTAGCACTATATTTGGTCGGGTGCTAAGAGGAGGGGTTTCAGGGCAACGGTGCAAGTAAAGGAGGGATAAAGGGCATTCCCCTTGTTTGGTTAGATAATAGAAGATGGGAGAAGGTAAAAGTGAACGAGTATGCTACCCCAGATATTAGCTTTTTTAACCCCTGCATAAATGAAAAGAAATGAGAAACTTCAATGCTTGTTTACTTTCCTTCCACTACTAAACAACTGGGGGGGAGAATAAATACTGTTAAGAAGTCACAAAAAATAATTCATCCCTGAACCAGAACCACATGCTCTACTCGTGTAAGAGAATGTTCAACTACGAAGAAAAGCATAAATCTAGCATGTCGTTATGATGTTGCTGAATCATCTGAGAAAATTACTTAAAAGGACAACAAAGAAAGAAAAATAGTGTCAAATCGTGAAGCAACTTGCAGTTAGAGAAATCAATATCAAATAAGAAATGCATCCAATAAATCAATAGAGGATATATTCATAAGACTCCAAAAATATTTATCGAGCTAATCAGCAATTAACCAATTAATCATCGGAGGATACATTAGTAAGAATCCACAATTACCTATATAGGTAAATCAACTGATATTTCTGGTGTTCGGCGATGACCAAGTTGGCAATTAATATTATCAAATATGATTGTTCACATTTGAGCTTAAAAGCAGTGTCTTTAAAAGACAGGGTGCATGGGGCAATTAAGAAGCAAGAAGCTATGCGCATGCTTCGAAGCTCACAATTTATCAATAACAAGAATTACCTAATATAAATGGATTTAGCATTTATAACATCAAATTGCAATTAAAATCACTAATGGAGCATCCAGCACACAATAATGACAATACAAATCCAACAACTAAATCAAACATCTTCAGATATAATTTCAGCAAGGCTTAACTTCAATTACAAAGTTATATCCAATGAATAGACATTTCTTGCAGGATCACTTTGCCCCTCACTCTCTGTAGCACTTGCTTCTCCTCACTCCTATGTGGATCGTACCATTCCATCCCTTTAAGCGATGAGATGCCTATTAATGATACTGGCTTAAAGTATCTTTTGCCAAAAGTTTATGGATTTGAAACTCCATAAACTTTTACTGAAATTCTTTATACAATACAATGCAAAATCTTTTTATGGGGTATTAGTCATACCAATTCAAAGTTATGCTCATTTACTAGGGATGCCATATTTGTTGAAATTCCTTTTGAAACACACTTTTCACAATTTATTCTTCATATTGGTAATATAAGTCTTGTTACCAAAGTGGCTTGCAACAGTAATAAATCTTCGGCCATCATCTGAAAGCAGGAGAACCACAACAACAACAAAAAGAGGCCATATATGTGGTTGCAACTTGCAAGTAGGGGTGGGTGTTTGGTACTCCGGTTAGGTATTAAAGAACTACGATTTGGTACCTCGGTATTCGGTTTATCGTTGTGTATGCCAAATACCGCACCAAAGTAGTTTGGTACGGTTCGGTAATTCTTGTTTGGTTCGGTACAGTTTCGGAATGGTTTCGGTTTATCAATTTGCATGACAAATTTCCATAAGATAATAAGAAATGCAACAGCAATCATGCATTAAAGAAATGCAACAGCTTTACTAGAGCAATTCCCATAGCTGCCTTATTTGCATATAAGGCTGAGGCAGCCAGGATCATTGAAAATTTTGAAACAACAAGTATTTCATCTTTTACAGCTATTGAACTAAAATGTATAAAACAGACCAAATTTTAAAAGAGCAAAATTACGAAACGAGAGGGTAAAGAGTTGGATGGAAAAGCACGATCGCTTCTTAGGTAGGACCAGATCCCCATTGCTTAAGTTTTTTTTTTTTTAAAATTCCAACTCTGGCTTTATCCAGTTTTTCTTCTCTGAGAAACAAATGTTCGGCACTTTCATGCCAGAGAATCAGTAAAGATGCAAGCAACACAGATAGTCTAAAATTGGAATGTGATTTGTGCATTGTAAGCTCAAAATAGTACACTCTGCTCTAATCTATGGCAATGGTCATGTGCTCTGGCTAAGAACTATGGCTTCTTCAACCAAATCAGATTAACGTTCCCTTGCGGATAACATGCAAATTAAGCTTAATAGCACATTACTGTAGCATTAAGTAAACGGATGACACAGAAACAGGAGAAGTGGGGCATATAAATACTGGCAAATCTCTAAAGATTAGGGCACCTGAATCTCCGGCATTGGCTACACGCTCTATTAACATGTACTATAAAACATTTAGTAAAAACTTTTGGTATTTCGGTTTAACCGAAACACCGAAATACCAATATCTTAATACCGAGGACCAGACCGAAGTACCGAACTTTTGAATCCAACCGAATCAATACCAAAGTACAGAAACCGACGTACCGAATTAATTCGGTCCGGTCCGGTTTTCAGCTTTCGGATTTTATGCCCACCCCTACTTGCAAGCATGATAATTACTTCTTGAAATCTGTATTGATTGTGCGAAATTTTCAGATTTAATCGACAATCATCTTAATTTTCCTATTTGTGATAAGGTTGAGACTAAAAAAAAACATATATATATATATATATATATATATATATATATATATATATATATATATATATATATATATATATTTTATATTTGTGCCACATTTTATTCTTTATTGAAGTTCTCTTTTCACAACTCTTTTCCTTAGATGTTGTCCACAACTGTCAGCCAAGTCAACTTCTACCAAATTATTTCTTAGATTTGAATGTTCTTTTACTTACTTTCTTTTTCCGGATAAGGTCAAGAGCGAAGAGCTACAGTAGGGGTGTGGTTTGGGAGGCCCGCACGAGCTAGTTCTGTAAAGCAGACAGCATGAACGCTCGGCCAGCCCATAACCCCTCCATAATTTTTTGCGTAACAGGTGCATGGGCACAGCAGACAGCTCTTACCGGTCTTCTTTTCCTTACTGATCAGTTTAGCGCCAGCCAAAAGCTATACTGATTTTCCTAAGATGCTGTCCATGACTGTCAACCAAGTCAACTTCCACTAAATTATTTCTTAAACGTAGCTCTTAACTTTTTTTATTATTATAAACTTTACCTTAATTATCAAAAAAATAAACCCCATACTGATTTGGTGCAATTGCTGAAAGATCAGCAAATGAGATTTTAGGCACTCAATGAGGGGGAAAAAGGCCCTCTTACTCCTTCTTTTGCCCCCCTAGCACCTGACAATCCATTCAATTCTGTACATCCTCCCTCAATCATAGTTCAATTCAGTGTTGAATTAGGAGACTTTCATTTTTTGGTAACCGAGAAAACCATGAGGGCCAGTGGCATACTATTCTAAACTCGGTGGATAATGGGCCCTCTTAAATTAGGAGAATATTTGTTGCGTCAAAATTAAATAATGGTTAGAGCTTGCAAAGAAACTTTAAATATAGAAAAAGAAAAATTCAACGGAGATAACATGAGACTTTAACATTGAACTTTCTGAAGATGTTCTGTCATTGTCATCGGTCCTTCTACCTGTTTAACTTCAGAAATACAGTGTTCCAAGTTATCAATATTGTAAGGTTATGTCAAATTGTTGGTAAGTGATGCAAAGTAAAGACAGGAGTACATTGTTTAATAATCACCGTCCCATATATTTTTTCATAAGTACTCTATTGCCTATTTTATACGACATCATTACTATTTGAATTTGTTTCTTTGAAAACAACTGTTTCAAACTTTTTTAAAGTATTTTATTTTAAAAATATTAATATTAATTTTTAAAGAAGATCTAAAACGTAAATTTTCCTATTGAAAAATAAAGAAAGCAATGTCAGAATTGAAACCAATAATTACTAGATGAATTAAATCTCGTATTTCAAACCTTGTAACTTGTTTTGTGATTATCGGAACATTAGATATGGACTTCTCACCGAGTTCACATAACACACTATATTGAGCACTTTTACCTTTTTAAAATTATTTTTTTGGGGGCCAGGGCAAACAATTTCTTCTCTTTGTAATCTTTACTGATTTTATTTGGGCAAGCATTTTCTTTTTAAAAAATTAATACTCTCCACGGGGGGGGGGGGGGGGGGGGGGGGGGGGGGATGGCGTACTCTTTTTGGGCTTATGAGATAGAAAGAATACTCTTTTAATAGCGAGTGACAGATCTACATTAATAGGCCACTCCACGGACTTATATAAAGGACAGAGCTCAACCAGCGTCTCACCTTTCCTAAAGCAAACTCTCAGATGTTATGAGAATGAAACTGAATTATCTACAGCAATACTAAGATAGAATAGTTGTAACCAAACCATAAGAATCCTTGCTATTCCCTTTTAGAATTTCACTAAAGCTGAAATGTACAAAGGCAAGATGATCTCCATAGCACTCAAAGTAAATATACAAAGGCTAAAGAAGTAACCTCTCCAGTTTTCACAGTGATAATATGTGGTGTGAATCCAAATCCTGTCGCTCCTGCAATCAGAAAATGACTCTGAGAAGTTCTCTGGATGATGGTGGATGAAACAATGCAGGATAATTGGGAATATTATATACAGGAGAACTGCAACATGTACGGACATCCCCGCCCTACCAACCCCAAAATAACAAAGAAAGAAAATGATCGGAAAATCAGCATCTATCTACTATTAAATATGACCCAAGAGCATTCATGAAAATGCAGATGTTATTTCAGCAGGACAGAAATTTCTAATATAAATTCAAGAAACAAAGGAATCAGTTGCGCAACTCTAAAGTAAAAAAAAAAAAAATAATAAATAAATAAATAAATAAAATTCTTAAGTCAATAAAAAAAAGGACTCCAATAAATGAAAAAAGGGAACTCTATGAAATTTATATTTATAAGTTACAATACCCAAAAAGAAAATCCAGAGCTATAAAACACCTTTTTAAACTCTATGAAATAAGACTATTTGCATGTTAAATGTTTAGACATACATAGACAGACTTAAAATCATCCAGTAGTAGTTCCTTCATTAATATTTGCCAAAAGGTGGGAAAAGAAAAAGAAAGATAAAATAAAAAGAAAAGACATACTTGTAATAAGCAGTATACAGAATCTCAAGCATTGCTAAAGTCATCAATAAACTATCAGAGCAGGGAGGGCATATTGGTAAATCCCCCCTTCTGTAAGATTCTGAAGTCAGTTGGGTGCAGATCCATTGACCCAAATTGAGCTTTCATTACATATTCACGTATTATAATATATGAGCTTCTGTGTGCATGTCTCCTAACGGCTAACAGATGAAAAATGTTCCGCTGCTTTAAAAATAAATATTATGACACACTATGCCTCAGTTGCAAACTAAATACCTATTTTTGGTCATATATACCCAACATTGAAAGCAAAAAAACAGCAAAAAAATGTTTGCCTAAAGAATCTCAGAATCGCAAACATTCTATATTCTGCCACACGGAAAAATGGTGATAAATAAACCAACATCAGTATCAACAATTATTAAGAAATGAGTTTAATTTATACCCATTACAGTGTAAAAAAATATTCACATAATCAGGTTTAGATAAGTACAAGTAAATCTATTAATAAATATAAATTGTTAATCCCCGTAAAAATGGTAATTAAACTGCTATCACATGAGTAAAAAGATTTAGATTATAGTTCTATGCACTCACAGTGTAAAATAATTACACCGCGTTAAAAACTATACTGGTAGCAAAAGTAAATTGTAGTATATAGTATAACTTAGATCTTTACCAAAAGAATTGTCCATTTGTTGCTTTTTGCTGGAACCAGGGGGTCTCCCTCTAGCTTTCTTCAAAGAAATAGGCGATGCGGGTCCCGTAGAAAGAGGTTGAGCAGCTGGAGAAGTAACCGGCTCTTGTGGCGACAAGCTGCCGGCAGCGGCAGGGGCGACGGACGGCGAATTCAAACCTAATGCCATGGACCCGTCCGGCCCGTATTTCCTCGGCCTCCCTCTCTTCCGTTTCATCGTCTCCGACGAATTAATGTTCAAATTTTGCGACAACACAGCGCCGGCGCCGGCAGAAACTTCAGCCGGCGTATACGGCGGCGGCGAAGTTGAAATCGGTGTGAACACAGCCGTACTGTCGCCGCTGTAACCCAAGTGCATGTTCTGAGCCACCGGCGTCGTATTCGGAACATTCGGCGGAGAATTTTGAACGCCGGCGACGGTGAAGTGATCTCTACTCGTCATTACTGTCTCAGATACCGACATCTTTCATCGAAATTTTCACTGTAAAAACGAAAATTACAGTTCAAAGTTAAAAACCTATAATTACTCGACAGTTTAAACCCTAACCCTAGAAATTCAACTGAAAACAACACCAGAAATTTGCTGAAGTAATGAGCTTTGCTTTAAACCCTCCAAATGTTGCAGAATTTTTTTTCCAAAATCTTTAGCAGATCAAGCAAAAAAACTATTAAAAAAAATAAAAGTAAATAAAATACTACTCCGTATTTGTTTTTCTTAAAAAAAAAGGTTTACGGAAAAAAATCTAAAAATTCAAATAAAATAAGAAAGAGCATGAATTTTCTTACCGAGAAGAGAAGAAAAAAGAAAATATTTTTAGGGTTAGAGAAGAGCAAAAGAAATTGAAATGGCTTTTTTCTAAGAAATACCTGAGAAATAGAAATATAATCTTTGGTTTTCTTTTTATTTCCGTATGTGTTACGACATTGATTCAAATTTAATAAAATAATAAAAAATAAAATAAAAAGGTGGAAAAGGGGAAAAGGGCAGGTAGAAAAAGGTAAGGCTAAAAACGATCTCGTACAATACAATTATAGAGTGCATTTAATTCCAAGACCCTCCTTTTTTTCAAATTCATCAATATGGACACGTGAACCTCTTCCTTCCCATAGTTTTTATCTTGCCTTAATTATATATAGGGCCGTACAAACCGGATCGAAAACTCGCACCAACTCGAAAAGTTAAATCAAACCGATTAAAAACTCCGATTATGATTGATTTGGCATTGAGTAAAAAAATCGGAACCAAACCGACATATAAATATATAATTTTAATATATACTTTAAAGACTTTTTATAGAATTTTCTTTAAAAAATATTTAGAAATATTTGCGATTCTCTTATGAGATGTGATATTTAGTTAAATATAAAGTGCTATATTTTTATTAACTTTAAATAATGGGTTGTATGATCACTTTCTATCAAGTGTTAACAAAATGCGTCAATCTCTTTGTTCTTCCATATTCATATGTCTAGATCTATTAAATTCTTATATATTTTTTGAATTTGAAGTGGTATTTCGATAATTTAAAATTATATAGAATATATCATTATATAGGTATCATATTATTTTTTATGTTTAATTATTAAATTCGATTAACCTTGAAAGTATACATCAACAAAATATTATTGTCAAACGACTAAAAAACCAACAATCATGTGTCACTAAGAAAATTCTCCCATAAGAATATTTTAATAGATCATATGTTTGTCAATTTTTATTACACATATTTACTTATAAAAAATTTAACAAAGTGAGATTTAAATAATATTCATGTACTAAAAAAATCCGAGAAACCCGAAAACCCGATAAAACCGAAACAATACAAATCGATATAGTTGATTTGGTTTGGTTTTGATAAAAATCGAACCAACCCGGTCCCTGTACACCCGTACGGCTATGTAGACAAAATTATATGCATCATTTGCTGAGAATTGCATTTTTTTGGGAGTCCAGAGTCTATCAAAAATAATTTCTCTATTTTCACAAGATAGGGATAAGATACATATTACTCTCATCAATCATATTGTGAGAATATACTATGTACGTTATTGTTATTGTTGTATTTGATATTTATAGCTAATTAAGAAGTTATAAATTAAAATATAAATGTTATTACTTGATTATGACTAAATGCTAAAAGTTTATATACAAAATATATGTACTTGTTATAAAACAATAAAAGAAGAATAATAGTATTGTAGAGAAAAGTAGGGAGAGAGAACTTTTATTGATTTTGGGATGAATTACAATGGAATAGAACACTCTATTTATAGGGAGAGGGTGACTTAGCCACCAAGTAATAAACCCTAGAATCTCTCTAAATATAGACATTCACCATAAATAAAATTCTATTTATAACACTCCCCCTTGAATGTCTATTCAACAGATAGTGTGCCTCGTTAAAACCTTAACTAAAATAAAACCCAGTGGAAAAAAATTTTAGTGAAGGAAAAAGAGTACACATATCTAACAATATGCCTTTTGGTTGCCTCGTTAAAAACCTTGCAAGGAAAACTCAGTGGGACAAAACCTTGTAAGGGAAAAAGAGTACAACGCGTATTAACTCCCCCTGATGAGAGCATCAATTCACATCCTTGAGCCTTCACATTCCGATCTTGTGCACTAGCTTCTTGAAGGTTGACGTCGGCAAAGATTTGGTGAATAAATTCGCCATATTAACTCCAATGAATATGTTGCACCTTGAAAATCCTTGCGATCACATTATCATTCATATAGTTATAGCAAGATACCTTTGTGCACAAATTGCACTTAGGATGTGGTCATTCATGACCAAAAAATTCTCCAAGAATTGCATATGCTATCAGCATTTTAAATCGTTCATGGATTGCCATATAAGTATAGTCAATAAGCCATATAAATAGAGTTTAGATTTACATCAAGTTTTCATGTCATGCCAAACATATAAGATACATAAAGGTGATAGCACATACCGTTGACTTTACACTTTTAAGTGTTTGAACTGCAGGTCCAAAACTACTTGTCTTTCATATGAAACCAAATTCTACTTGAATTGTTTCTCCAGACTTAAGATCCTCATATATATTTAGTGCTATAACCAATGTCGTCGACAAACATTTTTGTCACGGCCCGGATTTCCCACCTTCGAGGGTCGTGATGACGCCCACTAATAGGAGCTAGGCAAGCCAACTTAATTAGCAATTTCATTAAACACCTGTTCCTTTTTAACAATTAACGGCATTAAATAAAGGCGAAGGAATTAAAATCATTAGCGGAAGACTTAAATTTATATAACTGAATAAAATACAGAAATTCCAACATACTTCTCTACCCCGGGACTAGAGTCACATACTCACGAACATCTAAGGAGTACTACATACAAAGTCTGAAAGAACATAATCTGTTTGTCTCGGGTACAATGAGATGACAACCAAATGTAAAGATAGAAGGGAGACGTGGGGCCTGCGGACGCCTGCAAGCTACCTCGGGTCTCTCTGGACTGAAGGTTTGCCCCCGTGCTAATGCTGTTGCTGCTGCTCAATACCTGGACCTGTGCAAAAATGCACAGAGTGTAGCATCAGCACAACCGACCCTATGTGCTGGTAAGTGTCTAGCCTAACCCCGGCGAAGTAGTGACGAGGCTAGACTGGATCCCACGTAAACCTGTGCAATTATAAATATACAGCGGAAATCGAAGTACAAAGCAACTAACAGTATGGGAGGGGAAACATGCTGTGGGGAGATAACAATATTAACAGTAAATCTAAAGTAATCAATCTAGGTGCAATTTATAATTTCCGGCGAACAAGAAGCTAATACCAACACTAAACACATTTGTATCAATAACTGTTGCGGCGCGCAACCCGACCCTAATATATTCCAACACTGTTGCGGTGTGCAACCCGATCCACAATTATCACTGTTGCGGCGTGCAACCCGATCCACAATTATCACTGCTGCGGCGTACAACCCGATCCACAATTATCACTGTTGCGGCGTGCAACCCGATCCACAATTATCACTGTTGCAGCGTGCAACCCGATACACAATTATCACTGTTGCGGCGTGCAACCCGATCCACAATTATCACTGTTGCGGCGTGCAACCCGATCCTCACATAACATTGTTGCGGCGTGCAACCCGATCCATAATGTCTACCTCTCAACCTTGCCCAAGCAACAATCACAAATAAAGGGCAAGAGAGTAAACAAGTATTTGGAAGGAAATCCCAACAAGGGAACACAAACAACCAATAACAACCATGCAAGAGTAAATCGTTATTTCTCTTTTTCTTTCATTTTCATATCCTAGTTCTCATTAGCACTCGTGACAAGCTCCAAGGCATTTCTCATCTCATATACTCTCACCATTTGTATTTCAGACCGAGCCAATGCTCCACGAAGTTCCACAATCACAATATCCTTCACAAGGTGTTTACAACGCATAGAAGCCATCAATTAAGCATGGAAGGCATAACAATATC